GTAAAGACAGTCTGCTCCTGCATCTCTGTAGTTAGCGGCCTTGCCATACTCTTTCATACGTGTGTCTCTCAGTCTTGAGACTAATTTGTGCATTTTACCTGGAGACCCTGGGAGATTTCACTTTATCTTTTTTTTTTTAAAAAAAAAAATATGTGTTTATTTTTATTTGTGCATGTGAATGTGTCTGCATGAGTTTTATGCATCACATGTACAGGTATCCACAGAGGCCAGAGGGTGTCAGATCCCCTGGAACTGGAGTTACAGGCAGTTGAGAGCTGCCTGATGTGGGAGCTGAGAACTAAAGCCTGCTACTCCAAAAGTGCAGTAACTGTTCTGAACTCTGAGCAATCTCTCCAGCCTCCTATTTTCTATAATATTTGTCTTAGTTATGGTTTCTGTTGCTCTGATAAAATACCATGGCCAAAGGCAGTTCGGGTAGGAAAGGGTTTATTTCACTTTAAAACTCTTTGGCTACATTCTATCACTGAGAGAAGTCAGACCAGAAGTTCAAGGAAGGAACCAGGGGCAGGAGCTGAAGCAGATTCTAGAGGAACACTGCTTAGTGGCTGGCCTCCATAGCTTGTTCAGCCTTCCTTCCTTTCTTTTCTTTTCTTTTTTGTCCACCAAGAGAAAGTCCTTTAATGGACTGAACAGACAGGAGGCACAACAGGCCAGCACCCTGCTTGCAGGTGCTTTGCCATGAGCTGTGATGACCTCCCCAACCTCAGTGTGGGCTGAAGGGTGGATCTGAGCTGGTTTTAAAAACACAGCTGTAGGCTACAAACTGTTTGGCTGCATCTTCCCGTATCTCCTACCAAAATCTGTACACCTAAAGAAACTAATCTAGAGGGAGGACTCTGGCTAAAATGCTCAATCCCCATCCTGAAAGGCAAAGAGGATGGACATCAGAGGAAGAAGAAAACAGGAAACAAGTTAGGAGCCACCCACAGAGGGCCTCTGAGAGGCTCTGCCCTGCAGACTATCAGAGCAGATGTTGAGACTTATGGCCAAATTTTGGACAGAATGCAGAGAATCTTATGAAAGAAGTAGGAAATAGTAAGATCTGGAGAGGACAGGAGGTCCACAAGGAGAGCAATAGAACCAAAAAAAATTGAATACAGGGGTCTTTCCTGAGACTCATACTCATGGAGATAACTTAGGACCCCTGCAAAGATGTAGTCCATGGCAGTTCTGTGTCCAACTGGGTTCCATAGTAATGGGAACAGAGACTGCTTCCGACATGAACTGATTGGCATGCTCTTTGATCACCTCCCCCTGAGGGAGGAGCAGCCTTACCAGGCCACAGAGGAAGACAATGCAGTCACTCCTGATGAGAGCTAACAGACTAGGATCAGAAGGAAGAAAAAGAAACCCTCCCTTACCAGTGGACATGGGGAGGGGCATTCGTGGAGAAAGGGGAAGAAGGGAGGGATTGGGAGGAAAGGAGGGAGGGAACTAAAGGGGGGATACAAAGTAAATAAAGTGTAATTAAAAATAAAATTAAAATTAAAAAAAAGAAAAAACACAGCTGTACTAATTCTTCACTTTCACAGGAAAGAGGAACTTGGGGGAGCAACTCGATGGAGAACTTACTTAGCGCTGAGTCTGAAAGCCCACAAGGGGAGTTGAACCTCCCCTTGAGCTGTCTACACTCAATAAGGGGCAGACACCACAAGGAAGGCCCAGACCAGCCCACAGAGGAGCATGCTGACTTAACGCTTTTAGTTAACACACCTGCCTACTCACCCCAGATAGGGAGTCCACCACAGATCAAAGCACAGATACGTCAAAGTCCAGCTTGATGAGCCAATGTGTTTTATTGGGATTACTTACAGAAAAACAGATGTCTTGGATATCTATTGCTATGATGAAACACCAAGTTGGGGAGGAAAGGTTTATTCAGCCTACACTTCCAGATGGTAGTCCATCACTGGAGGAAGTCAGGACAGGAACTCAAGCAGGTGTGGAAACTGGAGGCAGGAGCTCATCCAGAGGCCATGGAGGAGTGCTGCATAATAGATTTTCTGCAATGACAAAATAAACAAATTCAAGCTAATTAAGAGTAAAAAAGGGCAGGTTTCTTTGGGGGCAGCTTTCAGTTGGGTTTACCAGTCCCCAGAAGAAATTGCCATATAGACTAGGGGTAGGGAAAACGACAGCATACACACAATGCCAGCCATACCTTGTAACAGTAGAGAACTTGGGACCAGGTCTGATTTGATATGTTAAATGGGCACACAAGCTGCTTTTTTGTTTGTTTTTGTTTTTGTTTTTAGAGACAGGGTTTCTCTGTAGCCTTGGTTGTCCAGGACTATATTTGTAGACCAGGCTAGTCTCAGTGATCCACCTGCTTCTGCCTTCCTGAGTGCAGGGATTAAAGGCATGAGCTACCACACCTAGCTATCTGCCTATTTTTTTTTGTATGTTTGTTTGTTCATTTGTTTTGATTTTTTTTTTGAGACAGGGTTTCTCTGTGTAGCCCTAGCTATCCTGAAACTCACACTGTAGACCAACCTGTCCTCAAACTCAGAGACTCATCTGCCCCTCCTGGGATTAAAGGTGTGTGCCACCACTGCCTGGCAATGTATTTCATGGCCAGCATGGTTGCAGTTTTCTTTAGGGGCATAACTTTTGCAAGATGGTGAAGAAAAAAAAAGCCACAGTATCCCACCCTGGCCCGATTCTCATGGACATTCCTTACCTATACCACTTTTTATGGTTTCTGAGAACTTCCAAAGGTGGCTTTGCCAGTGAGCACTGTGCTCAGAGCTATTTTTAGTCTGCTTTGGAAGAGTCAGGCATGATCATGGCTCTGCTTTTCCTATCTACTTTCTTCCCTGCTGCTTCTTATTCCGTTGCCTTAGGCCCATGTGTTTTGGTTAGAAAATGTGTTTTATAATGATTGTCAGAGACAGTCATGGTGGTACACTCCTGTAATTCCAGCACTAGAGGAGGCAGAGGCAGGCTGATCTCTGAGTTTGATGCCAGCCAGGTCTACAAAGTGATTCCAGGACAGCCAGAGAAACCCTGTTTCAAAAAAAAAAAAAAAAAAAAAAAATAGACAGAAGCCAGGCAGTGGTGGTCCATGCCTTTAATCTCAGCATTTGCAAGGCAGAGGCAGGTAAATCTCTTGAATTTGAGGCCAGCCTGTTCTACAGGTTAACAGTACTGATCTGAAGATTAGGACTGGAATTTTGAAGCAATTGTCTTTCTATGAGAAACTTTATTTTCTTCTATCGGGAATCTAGGACATCAGCAGCCAGGAGCCATCCTAATCCAGGGTCAAGAGCTGGCTCCTCCAGGTTACTGAGCTAGAGAAAACATGTAGCTGACTTTTACACTGTTGGCCGGTCCACTTAAATCCAACATAACTCAAATACCAGCTCAATGCAGATGACAAAAATTTCTTATAATCAAACTGCTACTGATCAGTCAGGGCCGCAGAACAGTCTCGGGAGCTGAACTGCTACCCTGAAGGGATGTTGTACAGCATATTGAAAGGATGAAACTGTAAAGTGAGGAAAATTGGAGTGGGCTGTAGCATTGCCCAATGATATTTTGACATAAGGGGTTGAGCAATGGAGTTCCCATCAATCGGGATAGGAGTTGGTTCCTGGGCCTGACCCTGCCTGCCAGCAAGATGAAGTTGTCATTGAAATGTCTGGACTCAAACAACTGTCTCCTTACAAGTTGTCCCTGAGACATCTGGACTCAGATAACTGTTTCTTTACAACAGAAGCTGATTAGCTATTGGGAAATCCCCAGCTCCCCTAGGGCCTGGGACCTTGAACTTAGTTTCTCCCTATGATTCAATGGAGTCTGAAAACAAAATGGTAGTATAAAAATAAGTATAAGAATAAGTTTCTTTGCCTTGCTTCCAAAAACACAGGTTCTGATTTACTTGTGTTCACCTTTACCAGAGGAGTCAGCTTTCTTAGATCTATTTTCTGCACACAGTCAAGCTGGGGATACTATTGTTCCTGTTTGGCTTGGAGTGCAGATAGAAATGATAAAGGGGATGGGGACGGGGGAGTGGGAGGGAGGCATGGAGGCAAAATGTGAGTTTCAGTTTGCTTTGTGATGAGTCCTGAGCACCTTTGAGCTTGTTGCTCTGCAAAAGTGCCCAGAACACTTGGGTGAGTGAAAGACTAGATGAGTAATCTCAGAGAGGATGTGCCTAAAGTCCTGGCTGGAGGCAGGATTCCTCTAACCACCTTCCCCACCCTTCTAGTATGGTGGGCCAGGTACATCCCACCCAGAACATCTGCTCTTGATAGCACCTCCGATGATCAGATGGTGGCTAGCCCAGCTGCAGACAGCTCTCAGGGGAGCCTTGGGGACCAGGCTTCAGACAGCTTTTGAGGGCCTAAGGGTCTTGTAGACATAGCTGGAGATGGATGGGGAATGGACAGGCTGAGGAAGGGCACAGAGGGCAGTCTGTGCAGGGCTGGCTGCTGGAGCCAATAGGAAGCAGAAGGCCCACAAAGCAGAGGGCTGTGTGGGGAGCTTAAGAAGTCTTTGCAGTAGCTTTTTATATTTTTAATTACTGAAACAAAAGAAATCTGAAACTGCAGTTTCTGGACAGAATCCCTGTGCCTGGCCAGCGAGGACTTGGACGTGACCTTAGCTCTGGCCTACTTGGCCTCCCCCTGAAGAGCATACTCAGCTGGGCAGAAGGCAAGGTGGCTGGCTTTGGGAGGCTTACTCCTGAACCTTCCTGGAGAAGGAAGTGTGGACTGAGCGGGGAGCTGGCACCGTACTGTTGGTTAGAACAGGCTCCTGGGCCTCTCTTGTCTCTGCCACAGGTCGGAGTTGGGCGCCAAGGTTTAACAGTGACCTCCTCCACCCCAAGTAATTTTGCTTTGTGAAAGGTCAGGATGATATGCTGACTAGGCAGTTAGCGGCTGCCCACACTGAGGCACTCAGTCATATAAACTGTTTCCTGGTTTGGAGATGGCACTTCCTGGGCTGTCCCGTGGTGTGCCTGGAGCTCCGGGAGAATGAAGGCAATGCTTCTGACTGCTGCTCTTCTTGTGTTGGTCTCTGTGCCCTGGGTGAAGGCAGTGTGGCTGGGAAGACTGGACCCTAAGCAGGTAACAGCCTTTCTGGGCCGTGGGTCCTAGGGGCCAGGCCCCACCTTTGAGGCTACACAGCTTTTGGGTTCTTAAGGGTCAATTTGGAAAAGCATGGATGGAGGTAGTTAGCCTGCATGAGGGGTGTTAGAGTTGTTGGACAGAGGGGGCTTTGAGGGAGGAGAGCCAGGAGTCTCAACCAATGCTTCCTCTAGCTCCTCGGGCCCTGGTACATCCTGGCTGCGGCCTCACGTGCAAAGAACTTCATGGTGGAGAAGGACATGAAGAACGTGGAAGGGGTCATGGTGTCTCTTACTTCAGATAACAAACTGAGAGTTCAGTCCTCCCGGCACGGGTGAGTAGACAATTCCTGTGCTGTGTGGCTGTCCAAGCTTCCTCAGAAGGAGCCCCTTCGCCAGAGGGGCTACAGGGCTTGTCTACCTGGTTCAGGTAGAGGCCTGAACTCAGACCTCCATGCTCCCTAGTTCCGTGTGCTCTCCAGAGCAGGCTCCCCATCTCCTGGGCTCACCACCTTAGTCTCTTCTTCCCCTGAGCCCCCCACAGTGGTGTTCTCCCCGCATCTGTGGCACTTTCTTCCTTTCCCTGCTGGACTCTGACTCATTCGTTTTCTGCCAGCCTCTTGAGTCTGTGCCCTGGCCTCTATACTCCTTTATTCTTGGTGGTCGGCTGGCCCTGGTCAGCATGAAGCCCATTTTCTCTGAGTCTCTTGGAGCATGTGGAAGCTGGTTTATGTATTTGGTCTTCGGGGCCACCGGCTTGGTCACAGAATCAGTCTCTTCAGGATGGAGGTCAGCAAAGCCTCATGTCAGACTGGCCTGTGGGGTCAAGCTGGCCTTGTCTAGTGGAGTGACACACACAGCAGGCCCAGAGGCGCCTGGTGAGACTGGTGAGGAAGTAGGATGAATGTCTCTCTCTCCCCTGGCTGTCCTGGAACTCACTCTGTAGACCAGGCTGACCTCGAACTCAGAGGTCCACCTGCTTCTGCTTCTGAAGTTCTGGGATGAAAGGGATTTGCCACACTGCCAGACTAGGACCAGTTTCTCTTAAATGTGGCTCAGTTGGCCTGGCAGGCTGACTGCACAGTGAGAACATTAGCCACTGAGGCAGACTGGGGCTCAGAGAAAGCCCTGTCTCCTCCTGAGACATCTCCTAAGTGTGCTTGAAGGACATGGCAGGGTCTCTTTCGCCCATGGGCCTGGGAGGACACGGAGGAGCAGGGACAGAGAGGTTTCACTTAAGGTCTCTTCCATGTAGCTTCCATGAACACTGGACCACACAGATCTGGCCAGGTTGCTCAACAGGGAATGGATGGGTGAGTTCCTGTGAGGCCAGCAGAACAAAGCTCTCCCAGGCATCTAGGGAGTTGTGAGCCCATGCAGGGTAGGATGGGTTTTAGGAGAGTCAGGGGTATCCTGTATTTTTTTAGTACTTTGTTGGTCTTTGATTTTATTGGATGAATAAAAACCAGAGTCTTAAAGGCAGATGACTGACTCCCTTTCTCCCTCCTGTTTTGGCCAGCCAGGGCTTTTGCTTTGTGATTGCCACTTTGAAGAGTACTTTGTCACCCTGTATCAGAGCAGTCACTGCCACCTATTACACTATCCACCTCTCCAAATGGAAACTTTGTCCCCAGGTGATGACAACTTTCCATCACTACAGAAAAATACTCGAGATAAGCAATTTATAAGGATGGAAGGTTTACCTAGGCCCATGAATTCAAGGTTTCAGTCCTTGGTTACCCACTGACCCTGTTGCCTTGAGACTATAGTAGCTTGGTGGAGAATACATGTAGGAGGCAGCTCTCTTTTGTGATGCTAAGAAAAAGAGAAGTAAGAGGAGGAGGAGCAGGAAAAAGATTCATCTCAATATCCCTTTGAAGGACATGTCTCCAGTGACCAAATTTCCTTCCACCAGGCTTTACCTCTGTCCTCTAGTATTGGCAGAGGCAACAAGCTTACAACACATGGCCTATGGGCACATTCCAGATCCACACTGTAGCATCCAGTATCACTGGATCTCCTTCCCTTTCCAGCAAACGATACTCCCCTATGCTTTCCGTCTCCCCATCCAAGGACTGGAGACCCCAGAGAAATGTCCTGCAGTGATTGGTTGTTTTAGCCCACACCATCCAAGATCCATCCATTCTGTCTTTCACTAGGTGACACCCCACTATGTGGATGGGTCATATCCATTACCCATTGGTGGGTGTTTGAGTCCTTCCCTTCAGCCTGATGGAATAGTGTGACTGTCAGGAATAGTGTACAAACCCAGCCTGTGCGCTCAGTTCTTTGGGGACAGACCCAGGAATGGGCTCTCCCAGTTAACCCTGAGGTGCTCTGTACTTCCTCACAAAGTGTGGTGCCTTCCACTCTTAGCCAGTGTTATACATGTACACTTAGGTGGCCTCCATCTTCTGCATTAGAAATGTGTAGGCAGCGAGCCTTAGTAACATGGCTTGCCCTAGAAGTGACATGCAGATGTCAGTGTGTCTAGCTGGCCATTCTTCGTGATCTGCTGGCCCCATCAGCTGGTTCTGACCTCTGCTCCTCTCATCTCACAAAGCCCACACTGTAGACAAGATGAGATTGAATTCCTGATGCCCCTGCAGGGGTAGTAGGTGTGGGTGGCTCACCACATCCGGCAAATGTGCTTGTTCCTGGCACTGAGCATCACCAACATGTGCATGTCTTTCCCGTTTCCTTCCTAGAGAGCTCTCTGCAAACATTCTGCATATTTTTCTCCAGAATGTTTCTTACTGGTTTGTGAGAAGAAAAATTTTAGCAATTAGTCTGTGATAAGGAGTAGTTTCTGGACATGGTGGCGCACACCTGTAATCCCAGCACTTGAGAGGCAGAGGCAGGTGGATCCTGTGATTTTGAGGCCACCCTGATATACAAAGAGTCCAGGACAGCCAAGGCTACACAGAAAAACCCTGTCTCGAAAAACAAACAAGATAACAACAGAAAAACTAGTTATGAATGTATTTCCCAGGTTGTTTGTTTTTTATGTGGGGGGAGGGCTTTTTCAAAAGAAATTATGTGAGTGAATATTTTAGCTGCATGCGTGCTTGTGTACCAGGTGTATGCCTGGTGCCCACAAGCGCCAGAAAAGCATCCCATGGCACTGGAGTTGCAAATGGTTGTGAGCCACCATGTGACTATTAGGAACCAAAACTGTGTCCTCTGCAAGACCAGCAAGTTCTCTTAACGGCTGAGCCATCTCTCCAGGCCTGAAGGAAACTTTCTCCGTATGAAAAGTTTTTATTTTTGTACTGTGTGTACACCAGCCATGGCTCCTGAGGGCTCTAGGTGCCATGACATAGGTGAAGGGCTCCTTTCACTTTCTGGTACTTCTAAAATTTGCCGAGGGCAGAAATGTGAGGTACAGGTAAGCTGCTGTGCAGCCCCACATTGCTGAATTAGGACCTTTGTCATAGACACATCGGCTTCCGATTTAGTGTTTTAGTTTTCTACTCTGTTCCTTTGATCTCTTTGTTGTGGATCGAAGGTGTGCCTCCTTATTTAGTGGACCAGCTTATGCTGTTTTTTCTTTCAGAACCTCCCCAGCATCTCTCCTTGTGGATGCCATGTTCCCAGCGATCTTTGAACCCGCCTGTTTTGCCCAACATATCCTCTTGCCCTTCTCTTGTGTTTGCTCACCTCAGAGGCTGACACCTTGGAGGATTTCCGGATGGTGTCTTCTCTCTTGAACCACAGGCTGATGTCTCTTGAGCCCTCAGCACCCAACAGAGTGGGTTCTTTGGGAAGTGAAGGGACTGATGCTTCTCTAGCCCCACGGTGGGCCTTCTGGGTAACCCAGGCACTATGAAAGAGGTGAACTCCCTTTGAGGACTTCCCCACTGTAGGGCCAGTTGTGCCTCTCAGAGGCCTCCCTCCCTCCCATTGTTTCCTAGGCCAGATGGGTGTAGCCAGAGCACCGTGGAGCTGCTGAAGCAAGGTTCCCGATGGGTGTTTGAAAATCCCTGTGAGTATGATGCTCCTGGGACCTGCTCATCAGATCGCCATGAAGGCCAGCCCCTCTGTGTCCCCAGGCTGCAGTTGGCAGGGCCAGGCCTGGGAGCAAGGAGGCCACTCTGCTTAGGACTGGAGAGGGTGACCCATCTGCTTTTTAGTCACCCGAGGCTGAGCTGGGATAAATACTCACCTGTCCACCTGTCTACTGGCAACCAACAACTGCTTCTTGCTGACAAAATATAAGGACCAAGGACCTGGGGACAGAGCTAAAGACCTTTGCTGAGGTTGGATAGGGTCTTATCCTGAATCTGCTCCCATCTTAATAGCCAGCCTGTTTCATGCCTGGTTGGCCCTGTTCACCTTGCCACCCTGGATCCTTCCTTTGCTTTCTAGCTCTGGGTGTACTGGATTATCGGGTACTGGGCACAAACTTCAAGGACTACGCTGTTATCTTCACACAGCTGGAATTTGGGGATGAGGCCTTCAACACAGTGGAGTTGTATAGTAAGTAGGGCCAGGCAAGGTTGCTCAGGGTCGCTGGTGCTCCCAACCCAGGTACTCTGTGCCCACAGCTCCTAGTAGGGAACATACAGGGCCAATCCCTGAGGTTGGCTAGGGATTGGGGTAAGAAAGGGGCAGGGGGCACAGCCACACTCTGCATACTCTGGTCACCTCTTAGAAGCTGCTCCTTTGTGCCTAGGTCGGACAGAGATGGCCAGCCGCGAGGCCATGCAGCTGTTCACCAAATGGAGCCAGGGCCTGGGCTTCTTGTCCCAACAGCAGGCCCAGCTGCAGAAGGACCGTGAGTGTCACTAGTATAGGCCACAGGGGAGCTCAGGCAGCACTGACACACATAGGGAGTGACTAGGCTGGTAGTGGTTTGTGGCGCTTAAAGGAATCACTTATGCCTGTCATAGTCAGGTTGTATGGACAGCCTCTGCAGAGGCTGTGGCAGGGTCCTGGGAACTTCTACAACCCCATTTTCACAACTGGCTTGGTTCTTCTTCCAGTCACTTGTGCAAAGAAGATCCTCCAGGTAGGCCACCTTTCCATGCATCACTCTTGGTTCCTTGGGGAGCAGGAAGCGCCAGGGGCTCTGGGTGGACCATCTTCAAGGTCTGTGTAGCCCATGGCTCTGCTGGTGGGCAGACTAAAGGTGGGGATGATAGCTATCACCTGCCCAAACCCAACATTTGCCCTGGTTTTCAGTGAGTGCCCCACCCTGGAGATAAGCACCACAGCATCCTGGCGTCCTGGCGTCCTGGTGTCCTGGTGGCGGTGGGCAGGAGGTGTCTGCTCGGTGGCTGGTGTATGGCTGCGGGTTAGCTGCTCCCCTAGGCTCTTGCTTAGGTTGAAAATAAAGTGATTTCACAAGTAAGCCTGCCACAGCATGTCTTCTCTGGGAGTGGGATGGTCCCTGTGCAGTGAAAGAGGATGTGGCCATGGAATCATAGAGCCAGCTCTGACAAAAGAATTTGCTGCGCTCAATATTCCTTCCCAGAGTTCTTGAACCCAAAGATAGGGCTGGTGGTTTCTCACTGGGGTCAGGATATAGCCCCTGGAATGGCAAAGGCTGAGGTGCCTGGCTAGACAAGAACTGTGTTGAATAGGTCAGGATACTGTGAAGGCATCCAGGGAATACCAGAATCCTGGACAGGGTCCAAACATCTGTGAACTACAAAGCAGGAGGACACACTGCGTGTTGCACAATAGGATAGCATAGCTAACAAACACCCACCAACAGCCTAGCAGGGAGTTAGCGTTCAGAGGCTGCCTAGCAGGAGGACACGGAATCCACAGACTGTCTAGCAGGGAGGTCAGTATCTAAGGCTTCCTAGCAGAGAGATGCAGCTGGGGCTCTAGGTCTTCTTTTTCTGCCTATGGATCCAGCTGCTGGCTGGGAATGGGCATGGGGGTGATGGTGGTGCTATGGAACTCTCAAAGGTCTGAGCCTGCAGGCACTCATTACAAATGGAATATTTGGTCTGGAAATGGTGAAATGATGTCATCTATTGGAAAGTTAACACATGGGGGAGGGAGAAAAGCTTAGGCACACAAGAGTTCTCTCTCTCTCTCTCTCTCTCTCTCTCTCTCTCTCTCTTTCTCTCTCTCTCTTTCCCTGACCTGGTCATCAGCATCCCCTTAGGCACTAGATATAGCCTTGGGGAGGGAGCCCCAAAGTTAATGCCTAGAGGCCACTGTTCCCTCCCTCCTGTCCCGTATGCATACCTGCCCAAGAGGCCAAGAGGCTAGTCTCAGACACTCTAGGCTTCTGCCTCTCACCTGGGCTAGGGTTATGAGAGTTCCAAGGCACCCAGTGGGAGGTGAGACAATCCAGGCTGCAGTGGCATGCAAATGTGGGTGTCGTTCTAGGCCTTCAGTGGTGAGGGATATGAGGACCAGCCTCCTCCATAGGGCTTCTGAGAACATTAAGATGTTCATCTTCAGAGGCCTCCCAGGCAGGCAATGTCAGCTGAAACCAACAACAGCCAGGCTGAAGCCCTCAGAAGGAGGGGCAGAGCCTGAAGCCACAGCTGCCCACTGCTTACCCCACCCATCCCAGCACACTGAGGCTCCAGGGTGAGTGGACACTACAACAGAGCAGACGAAACACGATACGGGTTTAAACTGAGCTGCCCAAGTTAAGGATGAAGCTGGAGATGGCCCTGGCCATAGCCCTAGTCCTGGCTATGGCATCCTGGACACAGGATTTTTTCCCTAAGGAGGCCCACAACCTCAACTGGGGCAAGGTAAGGTTGCAGAGAGTAAATGGGATAATCTCCCCAGCTAGAGGGCAGACCACGGCATCTGTTGAGCGTAACTATGCTGGTTACCTGTCCTCTCCCACCACTGCCCTAGCCCCGGCACCCTCAAAGATACCTCCACAAAGTACCTGAGTTCTGTAAGAGGAGCAGGGTGGTGGGCCAAGCACTAGCCGTGTCCTGAAGACAAAGATTGCACGTAGGGTGGCTGTGGGCACAGTGGCTGGGTGGGCAGTGTAAGTAGCACCCACCGCGTGTTATTAGGAGCAAGGAATATGCACCAGGGAAGAGCTGGTGGCTAGTGGCTCAGAGGGAAAGGGGAAGGGCTGAGCATTCCTGTCAGAGGGAGGCCAAAAAGGAGCCTCTGTGGGGGGTGAAGCCTGCTTCACCCACTGGGGCACTTGACCAGCCAAGCACCAGCTTCTTTCTCTTCAGCCTAGCCTGGGACAGAATAGTGCTCACCTGCACACACAGATGCGATGTGGGTCTTGGGAAAAGGTCACTTACTGGGTCTGTTCTCTGACTGGGAGCTCAGACAGGCAGCATGGTGTGGCAGCTCCGACACTGTCCTCCCCCAATGCCCTTGCAGTTTTCAGGCTTCTGGTACATTATTGCCATCGCCACAGACACCAAGGGATTTCTGCCGGCTAGAGACAAGAGGAAGCTGGGGGCATCTGTGGTGAAGGTGCATAGAACAGGCCAGCTCAGGGTGGTTATCGCCTTCAGCAGGTGAGGGGGTGTGACATGGCAGTGGTCCTGGTACACCTTTGCATGCTGGCCAGGGTCAGCTTTCTCTCTGGGAGGAAGGAGCCTACAGAAAGCAGAGTGGAGTCCCGAGTGGAAACAGCTCTGTCAGATAGTTTCACTACCTCTAAAACCCAAGGGGTGATTTGGAGAGAAATCCATGGCAGCAGGGAGGGGGAGCTGAGAGTGGATCTTTTAGCTCTGGGCAGGCCTTTGCCCAAATTAGAAGATGCTCACTCAAACTGGCCACCTTGTCTCCCCACCCCCATCCCTAAGCTCTAGGGGCAGGGGGTGTAGAGCTGGAGAAGTTGGTGGTAGAAGGTGGTGCCAGTGATAAGAAGGGTCCTCCGGCAGCAGCTCACAGCCCCTGTCCTCCAGGCCTCAAGGATGTCAGTCCAGGGAGGTGATTCTGAAGAAAGACAGGAAGAAACCTGTGTTCAGAAATCCCCGTGAGTAGGATGCCTGGGCCATGGGAAACTGAGCATGTGGCAGGCAGGCTGGACACCTAGGGTGGGTGAGCAGGCTGGCTGTGGTCCCAGAGCTGGCTGAATTCCTTTGAGTGACCTGGAGGTGAGGTCAGTGAGAAAAGGCAATGCTGGGCACTGGACTCTGTACTGTGGGTGCATGGATGTCCAGGAACCAGTGAGCACCGGTGCTTCTCCTGCAGTGAAGGGAGTAAAGGGTTTTCACGTGCTGTCCACTGACTACACACATGGCCTGGTGTACCTCCGCCTGGGGCGTGCAGGCAACAACTACAAAAGCCTGCTGCTTCTCAGTGAGTACCAGATGTGGAGCCCCCTTTGGGTGTCAGAGCAGTGGTGGTGGAGGTGAGAGAGGGGGTGACGGGAAGACAAGGCTGGCAGGTGAGGCTGACTGACTGGGAGGGAGGGAGGGTGGTTGGTGAAGGGTGGTCTGAAGGGGGCTGTGAAAGTGGAGAAAGTGGAGCTTGCTGCATGTGGAGCCAGAGGAGGCAGCAACAGGGTGTGAACCCTCACCAGGAGGGGTCCGGATGCAGACCCTGCAGTAGACAGCCTTATGTGTGAGTGTTGGGGTACTACCCGAGAGGAGGTTGGGGTGGGGTGTGAGTTCTGAGCTCTGGGGAATGCAGGATTAGGATGAGGTGGCTGGATCCAGCAGGAACAAAGGAGAGTGTTAGGGAATGCATGGGGGAGGGTGGATGGAAGTGATGTGGTGGAAAAGAGAGGCACAAGCCTGACTATAGTGTGGAAGGTCTGGACATGCCCAGGGGATTGTAGGGACAGAGGCTCCCAGGTTCCCCCCTGCTGCAGGGCAACCTTATCTCCTAGCTTTAAAAACGATGGACAGGGACAGAATGACAGTGACTGGGCAGGATGCAGTCCTCTAAATGTCATATGGGTATCCCTGCTGCTGTGCTTCTGTTCCCAACTGCAGACAGACAGAACATCTCTAGCTTCCTGAGTCTGCGAGAATTCCTGGACACATGCCATACCCTGCAGCTCACAAAGCAGGCCGCCATCCTTCCGAAAGACGGTACTGCACAGCCTCGGGCTTTTATTCTTCTGCTCTCATTCTGTCCCATTAGACAGCTGGTCCATGCAGGAGGTGTGTGTGTGTGTGTGTGTGTGTGTGTGTGTGTGTGTGTGTGTGTGT